GTTACTTACCTTTCCTAGTTACGATGTTGCTAACCAAAAATTGTAAATATAATTCTGAGTGTTACTTGCTAATGCAGTTCTATTTCTCAACACTTCACCTCAGCTGCAATCTCGTCAATGGACCTATATCTTCCGGCTCAGACTATTTTGAACAATCTGCAGATTCCTGATTGGTGACACAACTTCACGAGTAAAGTTCCTTACACTTTGAGCATAACACAAAATCTAACTCTATCAATGCTCTCACATAACCAACTTTCAGGAGTTCTTCCACCAGTTGTTACCTGGGTCACTGTGGTAGCTGCTGGAAATGACTTCGTTACTACACTCAATGTTGAAGAGATAAAAGGAACTCCTATAGCAAAACATGCACTTCGGTTTTTTTTGTTGCCAGGGGCTAGAATTATTGAGGAAGTATATTAGGATGTTGTTACCCAGAAAGAAGAAAAAGAAGCACGTAAAACTGCTTTGAAAAACTACCCTCAGCCTTCTCCTTTGAACAACTTGGAAAGAATGAGCAATAAATTATAGAATGCAAATAACATAAGAAAGCTTTGTCTGGGATTTTGGAGCGTTTGGTGCATGAAAGCTTATTGTATAACGTTTTAAATATCAATTTTTATGATAAGGTTTTATGCTTACTCATATTTAAAGATGAAAATTAAAATAATTTTCTGCTTATACTCATGATTTTACTATGAAAATATCCTGGTGAGATCATTTCATTTTCCTCCCCACACTTCTACTTACCAACGTCATCAATATGACAATAATAAAGTCAACTACAATGTAGTATCAAGATTTATGCAATAATGGTCTCTTCATCACATCTATTGTCGTACTATCAATAATGGGTTATCAAATTGCAAATGTAGCTTGTAGATGGATCATTAAGCTAAGAGCCTAAGACTCCACAGAAAAGACATACTCAAGGGGATTCGCCTGCATTACAGACCCTAGACTGGGACTGACCAAAGTTAATTTATTAGATGTGTGGAAAAAGAACTTGGTCTAATGTATGAAGACAGTGGAAGGCTCATTGCCCTTTAATTTTTCATGGAAGCTTAAATATGACTTGAACAAAACTAATTTCCCATTCTGCTCTTTTCTAATATCCTAACTCAATTAGTCTCTTCTAATTCTTCTGGTTGCTCCTTCTCCTTGTTTGGTTGATTTTGAATAAAATGTAGCTAGTGTGGATCTAGAAGGACTTTCTGTAGCTCTATGATCTCTTAGGGATTCTCAATTCAGTATATTTATCACAAAATGATATGAGGACATAGTATTCACATCCATTAAAGACACAGTTACGTAGGCCTATACAAATCATTTTATTCTAAATGTGATTATGAAGTTGTACAATACAAATGTCAATGCTGATATGTTTCAATCTCTGAGGAAGCGTGAATACAATATATCACAACTTACTAGATACAGCAAGGTATTTAGTATGGCGCCCCTGTGCTATTAACTTTCCAGTCTTCTTCTTCCTTATTTCCACCGAAGTGACCCCAGCTGCCTTTCCGCCGTGTAAAAGCTTGGCCTCAATCTCAAAATTTCATCCCTGTTAAATAATGAACAATCCAAAACTAAATTCCAGTATTAGGGAAAGAGTAACTGTATAATGTCCCCAAAGTATCCAATTGCACAGGAAAAGGAGGAGGAGGGGGGGCGGGAAAAATCCATATCCAATTCAGAATTCAAGAATCAACTAACTTAGTTTTCTAAACTTCTACTGTCATATATGTATTAGACTGTGTGTGTGTGTGTGCTGTGTGTGTGTGTGTGTATAATATATATTACCCACACCATTATAAACAAAAACACAACAACAACACAAACAACATAAAAAACAAAATATATATAGGGATATATATAGTCTATAGAGACGAAGAGAGATGAGAGAGAGAAGAGACAAAAAAACTTCATGTAACTTAAGTGGAAATAGCAAAAAAAGTTAATCCCACGCAAACTTTGTTAGTCAGCTTATACCTTGATAGGGGACTTTATCCTTGCATATATGAAAAAGATTTTTATATTCAATTAAGGATGAGTGACTAGGAAGTTTGGGGACAATTAACTTAAGTTAATAGGAGTTTATATATATATTAGAAAAACTTACGTCAACTTAAGTTGGAATAAAAGTTTTATCATTGATATACTAGAGATCTGTACATATAAATGAAGGAGACTTTTCATCAAATGGATAGAAACTTTCGTGGAATGGTCGGCACTTAAAGTTGAACATAAGTTTCTCTATAAAAATGATGAAAACTTCTTGGTCAACCTTGAAGTGGACATCTAAGTTTCTAGCCATTGAATGATCATTTGATTGTAGTAATGGTGATGATGTTGTTGAAGTTGATTACATTATTCTAAAACTCAAACACACCAAACAATTCTACCGGTGAACCGTTCGTGGTTTTGACCAAATTCATCCACATCATATCAATTTAAAGTTTCGATGAATAGACTTTTTACATGGCTCGACGGACTGGTAAAACCAACGACGGGTTCACTATTGATGTGTTGGGGTTTTAGAATATACTAGATCAAGTTTAACGGAACGGATCATCCCAAACAAAAATGTAAGTCAATCAAAGTGAATCATCAATGACCTAAAGAAACTTAAAAATGGAAACTCCAAACTTAAATTGCCATAAGTTTATATATATAATATATAGATTATATAATATACTTATATATATAAACAAAATAAAATAAAATAACAAGTTCAAGCATGATTCATTAAACTTGAAAAGGGTTAAAAGGTACCCAAAACACGTACATTTTGCTAGCTATTTTGCTTTTTTTTGGTGGACAACTCACCACTTGTTATTCAAACAGTAGTTAAAAAATAAGTCATCAAATAACTTCATGGTAACCAAATCATATCCACAAGTTTGGGTATCAATGCAAGAGTAGAACAATTACAATATTTTCACTAAGAAAAACCTTACGAACTTGAGATATTTATCGCATGGCTTAAACAAGGTATGGTCCTTTACTGCAAACACAAGTTCATATGATAACCACACTGAACCATTGACCTCAAACACATAACAGTTAAAATTCGTGGAAAATAAAGGAATATATATCAGTTTCCAATTGATAGAAATAGAGAGGAGGAACTAAAGGGAGAGAAAAAAATGCCCGGGAAGAGCTTATCAGATTAAGAATATACTAGAACCAGGAAAATGATTCTGGCCTGAAAAGTTCAGCCGAAAACACGAGGGGGATCATTTTAGTTGCTTCTCTTATTCATAAATTTTGCCAGCAGACAAACAGACTAACACTAAAGTCGTGAGTGCAAAAAATGTGAGTTATAACTGAGATAATTCTTTATATCTACAGTAACTGCACACAACAGTTCCTTATTCATATTATATAACATGGTCTCATATTATTAAGAACGTGCTAATATAGGCAAATCAAGTGGTTATAAGGCTTAGTTTACGAGTTTATTCATTTCTTAAGATGAAGAGGAAAGTATACTAATATTTGAGTTAAACTGAGCCTTCCGGAAATTCATGAGTTTTGTTTTTATTTTCTAGATTTGAGACTTCAGTAATTCATTTTATTTTGTAACACCTCCTGGTGACAGATTACAGTATGTCAATAACTGAAATCTAGGAATAAGCCTATGAAATATGTTTTAAGGATACTTGATGAGAGCTTCGGCATGTGATACCTATGCCAAAATGCTCCGCTTTCTGCAACCTAATATACCCTGAAAGTACAATTGCAGCATTGGAAATCTATATGACATTCAAAAATTATTTTGGCCAAAACTCAAGACTCGGATCTAAATCAAAATATTCAATACAATAAATTTCCATGACTGAAGACTGTCACCCGTACTGATTTTACTTCAGTCTCCCACATACACATCAAACTAAAATCGACAGATCCGAATCGTCACAGGAAAGGGTTTTTGAGATGTTGGTTTCCAAATGTCATCTATTTTATAAAAAAAAAAAAAAACTCTCCCAAAACATGATACTATAAAATAAGTCCTCAGAAACTAATTAATTACCTCAAATTGGATCTGTCATTTAACTCCAAATGAGAGTACATGCAGTCAGTTTTTCTGTTTTCTCATTATTACCTCGTCTTCTACCTACACCTCTAACGCTCATGAAGACAACAACTGTTTATAAAACCATTAAATTTCCATATTGAACATAAAATTTGGACTTAAGAGCACATAACACGGTGGGTTTTAATACTCACACCAACAAAGGCGGCATCAAAATGAGAAACATTCAACTCCAAAGAAACCCCGCTCGTCGAGTGCCCAGCAGCAAAGAACACCGCCGATCCAACCAAATCCACCAGCGTCGCAATCACTCCGCCGTGCAAATAATTGCCATCATTCTATCAACCAACCAACAATTAGGCAAAACGAAACAGGTAACAGTCCCATATTCAAATCTAGGGTTTTGTAATGCAAAAAAAAAAACAAGAAGAGATTATTATTTCACCTAAAATCAACATATTTGCAAAATTTACATAGACATTTGCTAACCTAACCACGAATTCTACCAGACTGACTAAAAAAACCTAGGGTTTTGAGATTTACGCGGAGGCGAGGGATGACGGTGAGAGAGCAGAGAACGCGGTGGGGCTCGACGAGGTCGACGCGGAGGGCGTTGAGGATGAAGGAGTTGTAGAGGTTGCGATGGAGAGGATCGAAGGAGGTGGATTTGTCTTCAAGAGATTTCTTTACTGACTCCAAATCCATGGCGCTCTGAAAAAAGTAAAAAAGAAAAAGAGCAGAGAGAGAAGATTATGAGGTGGTGACTGGTGAGAACAAAGATTGATTTTTTTTTAAGGAAAAATGCTTTCAGCCCCCAAAACGAATGAAAACAAGCTTTCCATCCTCAAGACTTTTTCAACGGGTGTTTTACCCCCAAAAGTAAATTTTTTGTTCTCTGAGCTCCCAAAACACAAAGCCCAATGAATTTCACACAGGGAAAGACTATAATACACATTCTCTCTCTCTCTCTCTAACCCTGCAATCCCTCTGCTCTCTCTCCTCCCTCCCCCACCTCTCCACCCGTCGCCACCACCCTCCTCCTGCCATCCTCGCCTTCTCTGCCACCGTCGCTGCGGCCATCCATAGCATCCTCAAGATCCACAACACAGAGAAAACCTGGCGCGGTTCGAGGAGTACAGAGAGATCGTCCGCTCGAGGGCCGAGCGAAACTCCGACGATGAGCGCTGCATAGCCGACGGAAACGAGCGACTGAGGTTTTACTGGTTCATGATTCTCTGCGCGGTGGGTTTCATGGGAGCGTGGGAGCGTGCGGGAGGACATGTTCATGGGAGTGTGGGAGCGTGGGAGGACCTGTTCGTGGGAGCGTGGGAGCGTGCGGGAGGACTCGCCCAACCCAAGAACAATAATAAGAAGAAGAAGGACAAGATTGATAGTAATTACAACCATGCCCCCTGACCTTGGCTGCTCCTGCTTTGGATGCTACAAGAGCTTCTGGGCTCGTTGGGATGCCTCACCCAACCGCCATGTCATCCACCCCATCCTCGATGCCTTTGAAGAGACCCTTGAATCGAAGGAGGCCAACAGCAAGTAGAAGAGTGGGTTGAAGAGTAAAAAGATTGATTTTGATGAGGTTTTGGCGAAAGAGATGAGCGCCAATGAGGAGAAAGTTGATGATGATGGTCATGATGATGGGTGCGGGCATGTTACTAATTACCAACGCTAAAACTATTGCCACCAAAAAACTTTAAAATAACCCAAATAAAAATATACCGGTTGCTTGTTAAAATTACTCCCTCATTAGAATGTCCTACATTGGTTGTTAAGGTTATATGTTGGTTGTTAATGTTACGCGTTTGTTGTTAAGGTTACGTATTGGTTGTTAAGGTTATACATGTTGCTTGTTAAGGTTACGGGTTGGTTGTTAAGACTACGCGTTGGTTGTTAAGGTTATGGATTACTTGTTAAGGTTACGGATTGGTGTTAACGTTATACGGGTTGATTGTTAAGGTTACGGGTTGCTTGTTTAACAATCAACACATAACCTTAACAAGCAAACCATATAACCTTAACAACCAACCCGTAATCTTAACAACCAACCCGCAACCTTAACAACAAACGCGTAACCTTAACAAGCAACCCGTAACCTTAACAAGCAACACGTATAACCTTAACAACCAACCCGTAACCTTCATATTAACGGATCTTGAGGATCTCTCTGTCGGATTATTAGGCTCTGAAAAACACGCTAATTGAAGAAAAATGTAAACTTGGACCTAACAAACAAGGTGAAATCTCGACATCACAATAACAGCAGAACAAGGACCAGTGAAGCAAACAAAATGCACCATTTCCGAGACAGCATTTACTGTCTCGCGGGCCGAGACAGCAAACACTGTCTCGCCCGCCGAGACAGCAAACACTGTCTCGGCAGCCGAGACAGCAAATGCTGTCTCGCGAGCTTGTTTTCCGCCAACTGTTCCTAGGGGTTATAAATACCCCCCGAAGGCCATTTTTGAAGGGGGCTGATCATTTTGAGCACTTCAGAGCAGAGAGAGCAGAGTTCCTGAGTTTCCGGCCATTCCTTGAGATTCGAGCTTTGACTTGATCTTAAGAAGAACGGCTATCTTACTTTGATAAGATATCGTTTTCAATTCTCACTTCGATAAACGAAGGAAGAATCATTAAACCCCTCACGATTCAATCAGAATCTGTGATTTGGTGGTCCACAAGTCAAAGCGCTCCCGGCACAGGCAAAGATCCCACGCAAGCAGCGATCCAAACAACGATCCTGCGTTTGTTTCTAAAAAGTTGTAATTTTCTATTTGTTGTGTAAAATTTATTACAATCGACCGTAGATATAATGAATTCTACAGCAAAACCAACTTTTGACGCAAACAACCTGGCGACCACAGTGGGAGCCAACGGTCTCGCTGCCGAGACCGTCGTGTCGCAGCCAATCAAGGTACCGGTTGAATCCATGGTCGAGTATGAATTCGACCAAACCAAGTTTGAGGAATATATCTCATCGTCCTCTTCAAGATCTTCATTATCACGTAAGTACAAGAGGATATCATCATTGAAGAAGACCTATACGCCAAAGAAGGCTAAAAGTGAAGCCTCTCATCCAATAGTTGTTGAGGTCATGCCTCGCAACATTATTCTGGCAACCCTTAAGGTCGGAAGCTCTGCTCATGATCATTCCTTCCCAATTAAGGAGTCATTCGATCGAAGTTCGCCAACTCTGACGAAGAGGGCTCGTCAGAGGCGACGCCAACGCCGCGCTCGTCAATTGGCTAAGGCCTTGGAACAAACCGATGGAGTTCGTTATTATGTGGACTTAGAATCGAGGAGGCATCGAGTGGTACAGTTGTCTCAACGACCAACCACTCATATCTCTACTAAACTAATGACGGATGAATGGACTTTTGTCAAAAGGGCTCGTTCGACCCTCAAAGAACGAATACAAAAGCGTCGTGCAAACACTGCTCATGCACGTTCTCTCTTACAACAAAGACGAGAAAGAAATAAGGAAACGGTGGCCAAAGAACCACCAAAACCCTGCAAAGTTTGGAGTCCAAAGTCTGGAGTTGTGCAAAATCAGCATTCGGAGCCCGTTAAGATTTCATGCCCACAAGGGGGTGGTTCTAAACGTGTGACTCCCGACATAACCTTGGATCGTTCAAAGACAATAATAGGTTGTCCTGAGAATGCCAACAAGGTTTTACATCCTCAGAAGAAAACATGTTTGTCAAAAGACATCGTTATACCTGGGGGGTCATACCAACAGACGATAAAATTTTCCGGCAATCATACCGATGAATCATACTATCAAGCTGGAGGTATGAACAAGACTCGAAAGAGAACTGTCCGGGAAATGAACTCTCATTGTTCCTGTGCGCGACTCATTAGAGCAATGCTATCAGAATGTGACTGTTTCAAACAAGAAGCCATCTCACGAAGAGTCTCGGTATTCCAGAGACTTTCTACTGAAATGTCGAAGCCTAAGCCGAGACATTTCCGCAAGAGAAAATCAGCTGCCAAAGATGATGAATTCCCTGAAGTCACCATCAACGTGGCTGATAAAAGAAAGTCTAAGCAGCATTCAAGTGACTCAAATCCCGACTTTTCCCCGAGAGAAAAAGTCAATCCAAGAATTGCTCAAAGGATATCTCGACTCCAATTAGGAGCCATCCGACGCAGAGATTACAAGAGAATGCAAGAAGGAATGTCCTCGGAGGATGAATTCTCGGACACTTGTTCTGCAATCGCTTCTGATGATACAATGTCTAGCACGGGACAAACCAGAGAAGTACTCACGATCACCTCTGATCAATTTGCTCAAATGCTTCAAGAAGCTCTAGCGAAGCAACGTGAAGAAATTAGAGCTGAGATGAAGACAGAGATGGAGTTGGCTATTCAACAAATGAAAGAATTGCTAACTCAACAACCTCAACCTCTTGAGTCCAGTCAGCGAGCTGAATCCAGCCGCCACATTCAGAATGTTGTAGATGACAGTGATCCAGAAGTGGATGAAGTCATTATGGCTGATACACCTCCCAATGACAATAACACTGGGGGTGGTCTAACGGATTCTCCCAATAACGAGATTGGGAGTGGTTCAATAGCACCTCTCACAGGGGGTGGTCTAACTCATTCTCCTCAACGTCCTTCGAATGAAGACATGGACGATAAAGGGAAAATGAAAGAGCTTGAAAACAAAATCAACGCTTTGATGACGGCTCAAGAAGTGAAAAAGACGGGTATTCCATGTCCCTATCCAAGAGAATGGAATTCAATACCGTACCCGGTAAAATTCAACATGATTAACTTCACACCGTTTGACGGGAAGAGCTCGCCTACTCAGCACTTGATTTATTTCAAGTCTCATTTGGACATGATCTCTGGAAATAAGGCTTTGATGGTCCGGTCATTCGTTAGCACCCTTCGTGGGCCCGCCTTCGATTGGTACCGACGTCTCAAGCCAGGAAGCATTAATTGCTGGGATGACATGAAAAGTTTATTCCTCAGCAATTTCTTCGATGATGACAACGAAGTGTCAATCGGAACCCTTTTGGATGAAAAGCAAAAAGATGGAGAGTCAGTCGACAATTTTGTCAAGCGCTTCCGTAACATGGCAATGAATTGCAGAGATCCTGTTACAGAGGAGTTCATCCTGCAAACATGCCACAATAATCTCTCCATCGATGTACTGGAAGTCCTGGGGGTCGTATCATCAGAAACTTGAAAAGATTTGAAAATGCGCGGTGAACAAGCTGAACACTTTCTTAAAAGAAAGAAAGCTGAGAGAAGCCGACCGATGACATCTGCAATCACTGAGAACGCTACTCCCGATCCGAGGTTTCAAAAGGAGTGTTCTTTCGAAGATGATGAAGCTCCAGCCATCTTGAAATACCTCCTCGCCAACGACAAAATCGAGCTACCGCCTATTAAAGATCAGGAGAGTGCTAAGATGATTACAGATCCAAACTACTGTGCATACCACAGAAGGATTCTTCATCCCACCAATATTTGCTTTGGACTCAAAAATAAGATCCAAGCATTAATTGACTCTGGCGTCATAATGGTGAAACAAGCCAAATAAAGACGACCCAATACTCCATGGGATACACGAGTATAAACTGTTTTCCCCAAACTCCGAAGAGTATACGAGTATAAACTGCTTCTCGACACTCCGAAGAGTATACGAGTATAAACTGCTTCTTGTAGGGTGAAAATTTGATTCTTCCGAAGAAAGGAGTTTCGTTTGTATTTATAAGAAAGCTTATTACAAACTAACAAATCAAATGTTTACAACAGAAGCAGAGGG